ATTTTCACAATTGAGTCATCATTAATTTGGATTTTCTTTTGCTCATTATTCCTTTTTTCACATGAATGTATTATGTTATGTGCAGAGTAATTTTGTTTCTGGATAAAAATTAAATTCACTGAAAAAATGAAAAGAAGTAACTAATGCAACAAAAATATTCTCTTAGAAATTAGACTCTTGATTGGTTACATTCAAGAAATGATATGAATTTTTTTTATAATTTTTATTTCAATAATGGTAATAAATAAAAGAGCCACATTATGTTCAACGAGTACAGTAAATTTAACGCTAATTTCTTTCCGTGTATTATCGAAAATAAATTTCAATTACACTTTAGAATCGATCTCGTCTGCTTTTTATTAATTTTTCTTGCGATCTATTTTACTAATTGAGCTTGCAATGGGAAAAGTTTCAAACGATTTTTTAACTTCCCGCTAAGAAAATTGAAAATTAAAAAAAATTGGGGATCGATTCCAAAAACTAATCAGCTCTCAACATCAAAAGACCACATCGATCGCCGCCAAGCCGGTCAAAATCAATTGTTTCGTTCGAGAATTATCGTTGACGAAAAAAAGTGATTTTTAGTAGATTTCATAGAAATCTAACTATTGCATTGGTCCTCATCACGGATTTTTTGAAAAATTTTGCTATATTTCGACTCAGCTCGTCAAGCGGATTCAGAAAATGCATATGGGTTCAAAAGTCTATATATATACGATATAATCGGCCTTGTCTCTTCTCTAACTCCCGCAATTCTAGAAATCATTTCTTAAACATCATTTCTTAGTATTAAGAAATATATATATTTCTTATAAGAAATATTTCTTAAATACTAAGAAATATATATATTTCTTAAATACTAAGAAATGATGTTTAAGAAATGATTTCTAGAATTGCGGGAGTTAGAGAAGAGACAAGGCCGATTATATCGTATATATATAGACTTTTGAACCCATATGCATTTTCTGAATCCGCTTGACGAGCTGAGTCGAAATATAGCAAAATTTTTCAAAAAATCCGTGATGAGGACCAATGCAATAGTTAGATTTCTATGAAATCTACTAAAAATCACTTTTTTTCGTCAACGATAATTCTCGAACGAAACAATTGATTTTGACCGGCTTGGCGGCGATCGATGTGGTCTTTTGATGTTGAGAGCTGATTAGTTTTTGGAATCGATCCCCAATTTTTTTTAATTTTCAATTTTCTTAGCGGGAAGTTAAAAAATCGTTTGAAACTTTTCCCATTGCAAGCTCAATTAGTAAAATAGATCGCAAGAAAAATTAATAAAAAGCAGACGAGATCGATTCTAAAGTGTAATTGAAATTTATTTTCGATAATACACGGAAAGAAATTAGCGTTAAATTTACTGTACTCGTTGAACATAATGTGGCTCTTTTATTTATTACCATTATTGAAATAAAAATTATAAAAAAAATTCATATCATTTCTTGAATGTAACCAATCAAGAGTCTAATTTCTAAGAGAATATTTTTGTTGCATTAGTTACTTCTTTTCATTTTTTCAGTGAATTTAATTTTTATCCAGAAACAAAATTACTCTGCACATAACATAATACATTCATGTGAAAAAAGGAATAATGAGCAAAAGAAAATCCAAATTAATGATGACTCAATTGTGAAAATATAAAAAAAATTTGATTGATTACGCATACTTGGAATAAAAATTACTTTTAAATATTCATAAGAACAATTAATGCTAACAATTCATTTATTGCCAGTTAATAAAGCTTATTAAAAATTCAAAAATCCTTTTATCATTAAATGAAAGCAACAAAATGTAAATATTTGAATGTAGATTTGTATGGAGATGGATAGTACGTGGGAGGATGGCTGGTGGTTTAGATCAGGTAACTGGATACCAATCAGCGTTGGTATCTCCGTAGAAATCTACCTCTATTTAACTTGTTATATTTTATCTTTTCTTCTTCTCTTCCGTGTGTGTTGTTTGTTGTTTGTTGTGTGTTGTGTAGTAAAGTTCATGTAGCCGTTGTTATGCGTTCTCACCGTGTTAGTCTATCTACAAAGGTGGTAAGTCAGGGTGCTGGTGTAAGCTATTGAGCCTTCTACCTTTGGATTTCTCGCAATAAAATTCAGAAACAGACAGCTATGCCTATACACAAGGTACCTAAGAAAGAAACCGAGACTGAGACTGAGCTGGAGGGTCTTAGACACCAGTCCAAGTCCTAGACAACCATTTGCTAGAGGCTTAGTAGACGTGAACCCTGAACTACCCAGTTAACAAGAGGTCATTTGTGCTCTACTCCCAGTACCCACGAATATATTCTTATTCCTATTTGTCTGATGTGTTTTATTGCCCTTTTCTCTTTTAGTTACTGACAATAAAGTAAGTACCTATTTATTCTTATCGCTTTTTACTTTAACTTTTCAACAGAAATTATTCCGCTTCACAGCCGCCTACGATTTAAGCAAAAATTTATACTCGTTTTAACGATAGTTTTGTCAAAAACTTTTCTTTGATGTAGAAAAATTATTAAAACAATTGACCCTATATATAGGCCGTCCCTGTAACTTTTCGTTAATTTCAAATGCAAAGTGCTCCAAATTTTAACAATAACGCCTTTGAGCTCTTCGAGCTTAAAAATCTAATTTGTATTCAGTAACACATTTTTAATTAAATATTTGAACTACAATAACTTGCAGTCAAATTATCCGATTTCAGAACGCTCGTCGGCATTTAGCGTGGTTAAAAGATGGAGCTTTATTAAAGGTTTCAGAAAAAAATACAATCTGTTAGAAAATTGAAAAATTTTGTTCGTTCTATTAATTTTTTAAAAATTAGATATTTCTCGAACAAATCAATCGATTTTGATGCAATTCTCGAACGTATTGATAACAAATACGTTCAATGATACAAAAAAAATTAACTCGATACAAAAGCAAAAATTTTGAACCTAGAACATCATTTTGAAGAATTAGATTATCTTGAATTATTATGAAGTAGAAAAATTTTTAATGCAATGAACTTTCTTAGGTCAAGAATTTTTGTGCTTGATTTAAGATAATAATATTTTCCAAAATGATATTATGGGTTCAAGATTAATGATCAAGTTAGTGGATCATCGGGCAAAGCTTTAACTAAAGTAAAAAGAATAAAAACACTAAAGTAATTGAATTTTTGAGGGGACCCATTTTGCCCATATTTTAATATTTTTATTCTTTAAAAACGTATCATAAATTAATAATAAAAACGTAGTAAGAAATTTAAAAAAAAGTAAAACGAGTAAAAAAAAACTCAAATAATAATTTTTTTAGGGGGTCCATTTTGCCCCATTTTTCAAGATTATTAAATTATTTTTGCACGCCTCATAAGCGAAGCGTTGAGGTTGTGCTCTACTCTCGACATTTCGAAAAAAGCAGTTTTCTCGAAACTGAAATTGATTTTTTGTTATTTATATCGCACTTACAGGTTAAAATGAGTACACTTATGTCAAGTCAAATAATTTTCTAGGCACATAAAATATACTTCAATAACAATTTTTTTGTTTAACATAATAAATAATAACATTAAACATAATCTCTTTTGGACGTCCGTGTATGAATGGGTGTATGTGGCAGGGAAATTGGTCGAAAAAATGATCGTACCGGAACAATTTTTTTTTTATTATCTAAAGTAACACACGAAGGATTTTCCTAATTAATATGAGCGTTCAATTCACTGTCGTTAAATTATTATTTATAAAAAAATAATATATGACTGTGGTTTTTTTTGGATTTCTATCTATACATTTTATTATAATATTTTTTTCCTCACCTTGCAGTTATGGCGCCACAAAACCATAGCAGTGTTTTCTGTTTTTTATTATTTCGCTTTCTATATTTTATTTTAATCAATTTTATTCTAAAAAATGAGATTATGAGGCGTGCACTTTTGGATTTTCCAAACTTTTTAATT